AGGTCTGCTTCAACTATTAAGGCACCCCGGAAATAGCAGGTCACAAGAGAGTGACAAACATACAAAAGAAGTAGAGGGAAATGACGATAGTAAGGATCAGGAAAGAAAAAGCAGCAGTTCCCTGTTGTAGATCAGGCACAGTTATGAGCGTGACATGAGTCAGCCCATTTTCAATTCTACTATGCTTGAACGAGAAATGTCCCACATTTACACCGTCAAAACAATTTTCATCTATATTCCATTGTGAAAATACCAAGATTCAAACTTTTACACCGTCAAAACAATTTTCATCTATATTCCATTGTGAAAATACCAAGATTCAAACATTTACACAGAATATATCAGAATAAATACCAATCTTACTGTTAAGTCTTACATAAGACGCAGGCTCAACTATGACGCCAATGGTACAACTCGGCTAAACGAGCAGAGAAAAAAGTACACCTCAGGCCGCCAATGATCTTCATTAGTCTTGAAAAAATTGTGAAAAAAACTGTGAAAATCTTTTATGTTAATTCTCAGTTGATCTGGATTAATTAGTGAAGTTAAAACATCAACTAAAATTAGCAAGCTGAAGTCTCGGTAAATATGCTAATAAAGAGTCGACACACAGGTATATTTTTTAAAACCAATACAAACACCAAAAAAAACATATCTTGTTCATTTTCATCTGTCCGGCATTAACATTTTTTTTAGCTCATTTATTATTCTTAATTTGTCAGTGCACACACGTAATTTTACATGGCACTCCAGCGAACCAACGACCAAATAGAAACAATTTCTTTTTTGTTTTAATTTGATCCAGTTTGGTTTTTTTACTTTCTTCGTTTGGGCCCTATATTAAACACCACCCTTCAGATACAAACACAGGATCATGACAATAAATTATTTACAGTAGCATTTACAGGCTCTCGGACTCACAACCGTAAGGTCGTGGGTTCGAATCCCGTCAGAGACGCGACGTAGTGTCCTTGGGAAAGGCACTTTACACGAATTTTCCTCACTTCACCCAAGTGGGAATGGGTACCCGGCTATAGACAGCGA